GCGCCCTCTACAGCTAAGATGGCGAACAACAGCTCGACCTGGAGCTGGGTGGCTGTGAGTCACCAGCGACAGCATAGGCTGCAGCCCATGCTGCAGTGGGCTGCCATGAGCTACCGTGTGTGGCCGGCAGCCAGCGTGAGCTGCCATGAGCAGCTGTCCAGTGGCCGGCGAGCAACTGCCTCACCCGGGAAGATCGCAATGATAATACCAACATGGGCCAGTGAAGCGACGTCCTCAACTAGACTGAAGAACAAAAAGGACAGCAACTTGTCTGTTCCCCTTCCCCAATTCCTCAAAAAATCTTAAAAAAAAAAAAACTATTGACTGGAACAGGGGAGGGAAATGGGGCTCAACTCTGAATATAACAAAGACAGCTGGGGATTCATTGCTAAGGAGCAGAGTGGGGTATCATCAAGGCTGGACAGTCTTGCTAAAGTGACCTAACAGGGTGGGGGTGGGGATTCTTTCTAAACGGACTTAGCAGGATTCTTGCTAAAATTGAACTAGACAGGCTCAAGACAGTGGGTGTGGGGTTGTGCGTAGGGGGTGGGCTGGTGGAGAGGAGGGCTCAGAGGAACCCAACCAAATTTTGGTCCAGGAGTCTGGGTCACCCTAATGACCTTGTTCTCACTTAGTCACCTCTCTAAAGCCTTGATCTACAAACACAGCTACATTTGTAGGTGTGGGGGTTGGGACTTCAGTATGTGCATTGTGGGAGGGTACAGCTCAGCCCATAACAAGGACCCATTGGGAAAATGTCCGCTGCCAAGACTGGGGCAGGGAAACTCAAGACGAGCCTGAAACAGCTGGTTGTGCCAAAAGCCAGGGCTCAAAGCACAACACGAATATGACAGACAGACACAGGATCCAGCTTGCGTCCTGGCCCGGAGCCCCGTGAGCATCAAAATAATGGCAGTAAAAGATTATAACTTATTTCATATGGCAAGACTCCATGAGTCCACGTGACATAAATAAACACACCAAGTACCTAGGGCTGGGGCGCTGGAGGGGGCAGGGGCAGTGACTGCTAGTGGGCACAGGGTTTCTTTTTGGAGTGACAAACATGTTTAAATTGTGGTGATGGTTGCACAACTCCGTGAACACTAAATATTGTCTGCATACTAAAAACCATTAGATTGTGTCCTTTCAATGGTAAAATGTGTGCTTCTTAAAAAAGGATCAGTGACTCCACACTGGTATATTATTTACAAGTAAGTGAATAGATGAGATGGGGAGAAGAAAAACTCTCTCATAGTGGAATGCCAAATAATAAATGTAGAAGGAATGATGGAATTAGAAAAATCGCTCCTTGACCACCATTTCAATGGAAATTGATTCAGACACAAGTCCTCGATGGAAGCTGGAAGTGGAGAGAGTCTGAGAATAGGGTCTTTACTCAGCTTCAGAGGGTCGCCCCACAAGACAATGCATTACAAAGAGCCAACACCGTCACTTCACAGTGGAAAGACTGTTCACAGTGAACAGCACGTGCCCCGGACAGGGGGCGAACGTAACAAACACTTAACAGCTGGCACATCTGGATCAAGGGCCTCTGGGAAACCTTTGTACTGTTCTTGCCACTTTCCTGACAGTCTGAAATTATGTCAAAAATTTTTTAAATTTTCATACTTGGACCGCTGTAACAAAGTACCGCAAACTTGGCTGCCTTAAAACAACGTCAATTTATTCTCTCACAGTTCTGAGGGCTAGAGTCCAAAATCAAGGTGTCTCAGGGCCGTGCTCCCTCTGAAGACTTGGGGCGGGCCGGTGGGCGAGGGGGTCCTTCTGCCTCTTCCGTCTTCTCTGGGTACCTGAGTCCAGTCTTTGCCTGTGATCCCACCGTCTTCTCCTCTCTGTGTGTCTGTCCAAATTTCTCTTTTCATGTAAGGACACCAGTATAACTTCATGTGAAGTTGATTATATCCTCAAAGACCCTATGTCCAAATAAGGTCACACAGATTCCAGGGGTTAGTGGAAGCTTAACATGTGGGAATCCAGGTGAGTATCTGGGAATTCTTTGCCACTTCTGTGACAGTCTGACATTATGCCAACATAAAATAATGCAGAGCACAATCAGAAACTCGCCTTGCCGAGGGCCCCTGTCATTGAGCCTGAAGTCCAGATGGTGGCCCACAGCCCTGAGGACCCCCTCCACCCCCACCCACGTCCACCCTCCCACCCTCTCTGATCACTCGAGCTTCTGGCTGCAGCCACCCCGAGCTTCCTGCCAGCCTTCGGGGTTCTCTGACACCCTAAGCTGGTTGCTGCTCCGGGGCATTTGCAGTGGCTGTTTCAGCCCAGAACATTCCCTCCCCCAGGATAAGAGGTGGCTCCTCAGGTCCCTGCCCCATGTCACCTGTCCTGACTTCCCAACAAGCTGATCTAAGACCAGCTCCCCTTGGTGTCTGTCGCACATTATAAATTGCTGTCTGGGGGCCGGCTGAGTGGCTCAGTTGGTTAAGAGCTCGCTCAAGAGTTTGAGCTCTGAGCAACAGCGGTTCGAATCCAGCCCGAGCTGAGCAGCCGCTGAGCTGCCAACAGGTGGCAGGATGGCTCAGCTAAAAAAAACAAAACAAAACAAAACAAAAAACAATAAAAAGACTCATAAAAAAATTGCTGTCTGGTTGACCCCCTCCCCTAGAATAGAAACACTGCAGGGACACAGGCCTTGTTGCTCTGAGTTGAGCTGTTTCCAGGGCCTTGGACCAGGGCTGACAGGTGGTCCAGCTTGCTAACTGTGGATGGAGGGAGCCCAGGCGCAGGTGTCAGCAGAGTAACAAACGAATCCACCCGTGTCCGAGCCTGGCACACGGCTCTTGAC